TCGACGCGCGCATCATCCGTTTGCAAAAGTAATAGCTTACCAATTCCAGCAATCTGAGTGATCATATATTCACGAGATATGGCATAGTATGTTTGAGCCATAGTGAACAATAAGTGTGAACTGCGATCGATATGAGTAGCCGCGGGAATAAGAAGTTCGACGAAGAATTCACGTTCAAATGGGTCGACTAGAACATTGTCCTTTTGAGCATCTTCGATGACCTCCACAAAATCTTTGACGACAACCTCAAGAAACACAGGCATACATCTTTATTACTTGTTATACACAAGAAATCTTCCGACACGTGTATTTTACGGTTTGAAGGTTCTCCTAACTCTAATTTTTGTTGTCTTTGGAGTTTTCTTCAATAAAAAAAGTAAGAGCTTGGATATAAAATTGCAAGATATTTTAAAGAGTTTGATTAGACTTTGTCAATAATCAAAGTGAGTCTGAAGTTGCTCGTTGGAAAATACACGACGAGTACATCGACTTTATCCCAACAGAATCAAAATTTTGGAGATAGAAGGATTGACATTCGAAGCATTGATGTCGTCTGTAGAAATTTTTCAAAGGCGGCACTCTCTCAATCTGACCATTTTGTCACTTCGAAACTTTTCTCATATTCTATTTTGTGGCATGAAACAATAGAAAATCTTTTTAGACATTTTGACTGCTCAAATATCACTATGATAATAAAGTAAAAATATAACACTCCAGTACCCTCTGAATGGCTATACTATTGAACTATCAAACGACAGAGTTCGCAGCTATTTCTAGTACTGCTTCTATGCTGGTTTTAAAAAACGAGTACTATTCGGGCATTTGCGACAAGAATGACTACTGACCGAGACGAAACTAGACAATTTGTGTAATGAAATCGACTTTGCCTGTTTCAAAACACGTACTGCATGATTCGACTCAATTGAAAATTGGGTCATTCAGTTTTGAAGAAAAACTGGTAGCAGTGTGAGAAAAGCAGACAAATATAAAAACCTACACATTAACATGCAGCAGTAAAAAGGGAAATCTTCGATGGCAACAGACAGGAATCTGAAGTTCAGAAGCGAAAAATGCGGAACAACTACTGTTGCCATTACATCTAGCAAACTTGTATATCAAATTTTCAAGCCTCATATCGAAAGAAATAAGTCGATCATCTTTACTCTGACGATAAAAGGGGAGGTTCTAAATTACTCTACAGCTAGTTCTATTCAATCTTACAAATACCTAATGTGCTTCTCGATACATTTGTTGCTGGCCCATTTGTTCCTTATTGTAGATACTTAGCAGTGCTACAACAAAAGAGCAAAATCTAAACACATGTTGACGCCTACGAGGTTCGAAGGTTTCGTCCTCTTGAAATATAGCCGATGTAAAGCCTGGTACATTTTGGCACGGGTAGCCTAGCGGTTTTCGCTAAAAAGCACATATAATTTTTTTTGTATATTACTTGCTGAGTACTGTGAGCTTCGATGGCAATTTTTGAAAAGAATTCAATCATGCGTGACCATTGCTCCTTGATCGCATGGATCTGTTCGGTAGCTTCCAGAAGCAGTTGAACAATCTCTTCTGTACTTAATTTGCTCAAGTCAAGCATGGCCATATTTCCCATTGCCTTAGCCAACTCGTTCTGCTCGACAAGCATCAATTGAAAATGCTGATTGTGCAACTTTTCTGCGCGCTCTAAATCTTCTCGAAGCTTCTCAGCGGTTTTCATGGCATTCTCAAATTTAGAGTTGTCAATGATAGGTTTCGGTGGTTTGCACATGCCAAACACGCATGCAACCAAGCCCAGTGGTGGAAAGACTTGTCCAAGGCTTTGCGCAATAATATTGCTCGTACTAGGTGCTCCAGGAATGACAACGGCGGGTCCCGCGTTGGCAACTGCTGTCATGGCTTCGCTGTATTGCTTACGAGCTTCTTCAAGAGCAGCTTTTGATGAGTCAAACTGGGCCTGAATGGTGCTAAGACTCTGTTGAAGACGCTCTTGATCGAGGATCGTCTGATTCATTTGAGTTTCCATTTCCAAAATGCTCGCCTCATTGGCTGACTGAGTGCTTGCACTCAACTCGATAATCTCAGCAAGAAGTGCCTGAAGCATGTTAAATTTGTGAAGTGTTGCGTTAGCCACTTGAGCACTTTCAGTAGCCAAACGACTAACACTACTGAGCGTACGGGGCAACATGCTTTTCAGCATCGCATTGGAGGCTGAAGTGATGAGCTTCAACGCCGTTTTTATATGGGTAGGCACTTGTTGAATGGCAAGCTGAATACGATCCATTGCAGTGTGTGCACCCATCAGAGCATCATACATATCTGATGACACTTGAGCCAGCGTTGCTCGAAATGAGTTTGGATACCTGATTGCTTATAAATAATGTTGAAGCGTTATTTTTTCGTCATCATTATTACCTGATGTAACGATAAACATAGTCAGCCGACGCATTAAATGGAAAATCTCGTTTGCTAGCGAGCACCATCAGATTACCAATATAGTTAACAACAATTGGACCTGATACCATCAGAGTCTCCCACTCCTTGTCAATATTTGGCTGTTCAATCAGTTGATCATCACGGATGGCGTTGAAAATCGACGGATCAGCTCGAAGTTGGACACCTATCATATAACTTGTGGTTTTTTGAAAGGGAAATCTGACATAATAGAAACTGCAATGGTTTTTCTCTTAGTTCGCAAGTGAGTTTTCAAAGTTTGAGAATTTTTTAAGCCTAACTACAATGACTAAGTATGAATACATGCTTGATACATTCAATCTGTCGTTGCTGTTCACTCGGATTGATGTGAAAACTTACGTATCTTCAGACTTTTTAGGTCCTGAACATATTGGTCGATGATTAAGACTTTTAAAGCATAGACTCGAACACTTTTAATATCGTCTAGAAGTCAAATCATATAACTCACCAGATATCGTATCAACATCGCTCGCTAGATACGCCAGAAATTGATCATCATCCATTTTAGGAATAGCCAAAATATCTTTCATACTCATTTGAGCAACTGTTTCAATGTAAACATCGAAGAATGGATTTTGAGCTGGATCAACAAACAACATATGAGCGACCGACGACGGAATTGAACAATGTACGCTTGCACTTATTGCCCATAGTATCAGACATAGTTGAAGAGAAACTTCAAAAGCTTTCTTTGGAGAAAAACCTTAGTTTATGTAATTTAATACTCACAGTGCTGCATTTCTTTCATCAAAACTCAAGTATCATAAACAAATATAGCAAATGTAAGCTTTTAAATACGAGCGAAATTCATGAAAATATTCTCTGTAAATGGACATCAGCTGGTTATAATTCTATTGTTTGCTCGATGTTGTTATCAGGCGTATTTTTTCGGTGAAATATCGATCTTCTATTTTGTTCTAAAGCAATTACACATATGAAATGAGGAAAGCCTCATGAGAATATAATGAAATATGGTCCAGCTGTTTTCTTGTACCATAGTGTTTTGGCAGAATGAAATCAATAATTTTTTTATTCCATGTTTAGAGGATGTTGATAATAAAATAAATTATCATCATTCAAGCCAACTCCAACCACTCACACCGTCAAAACGGGTCCAGTCACTGTAATTAGAGACAAAATAACATCGATCGCCTTTTTCAGAAAATGAGGATGATGTGAGTGTGGGTGAATCTAGTCTAGGTGTGGATGTGGGATATGGATGTACTTGTGCGTGAAAAAAAGACTCACACGCATATCCACACACACCCATCGATATCCACGATGAATACCTTTGCATCATCCCGTTGGATTATATCGAGCCGATAGAAATTTGAAACGCAATAGAAAGCTAATTTCATCATTTCAAACCAAGCTCAGTCAAAATACTCTTGTTTTTTAGCAATACTTATTGCGCATTCTGAGTGTCGACATATATGGATGTGAGTGCATGACTCTGGCTACAACTGTACAGAGGAGCAGCGTATACCGTACAAAGGAACATTTTCCGAATCGTTAAATTTTTTTCAAAAAATTTTCCCGACTAGAAAAATAAAAAGCAACAAGGTTTTGTTTGTATAGAATATATATTTATTATCACGAAAGGGCATCGATGTCGATTGTGGTGTGGCCGTTATTAGAGATTATACTACACCCACATCCACCCAAGATTGGATCGTTTTTACTTAAACAATAGGCTATATAAGAACTCTTTTCGCGTTTAGAAGTGTGGGTGTGAGTGTTGTTTTGTTGTTCAACAACACACATCCCAAACCCACAACTTAATCCTGACTTGAAAGCAATTTGACGCTTGGATATGTTCCCTCGTGAGAACGAATTAATCGTAAAATTGCCAAATATCGACAGTAAATATGAAGCTAACTATATTACGATTCACATCACTATAATCATTGGTTTTACATAGTTTCTCTTGATTAACGAACACAAATAGTTAGATAGAATAATTCAAGCAAATTTCATTAAGTCCTTCGACATATGCTAATGCCAGTCTGATTGCGAAGATAAAAATATTCGTTGAGCAAATATATCTCTTTTAAACTGTTCATTCGTTACTTTTTCATTTCGATTGTACTTTTATAAATGTAATGTTTTTAAGTAGGATTCCATCAAATAGCAATATGTGTTCTTGCCTGCACTTAAACATTCTGTAAGAACGTGAAAATTTCGCCTTTCTACTTTAAGAATTCGCGAGTGCGAAAAAAGTACGAACAATATTTTCTTTATGTTGCAGTAAGTGAAAAAGAAAGCAAAATTTTAATGTTGACATTTATCTTCATTCCTCACACATGCCGAATTATTTCCTTTTTGTTTTACTAAATCTTCAAAGAAAAACGCGCAACGACAATGAACACGACTAACACTGCATTGTTACCTAATATCTATATTGGTTTCTTAAACAATTTCATTGAAACATGGATCGAAAACGTCAATGTTTAGCAATTATTAGTAGTGTTTGAATGATATTCTTTTCATATTTATATTGTGTACCAAATAGCCAAGGTGTTTCACAAATGAATCGTCTTTGTCTACTTAGTGCTTCAATGAAAATAGTCAGTTTTATTGTGAGTATAGTCGTTTAAAATTGTTAATTTTTTCTTGTTGACATTTTCATTGCGTTTTGTTTGTTTATATAGAGTAAAATATCTGAAACACTAGGTTTTGCTCCTGCAGAGTATATTCAACGAAATAGTAGACATATCTTAAAGAAATTAAAACCAACTGAAGTTAATATTAATTTAAAAGTATTATGAAAAATTTTATTTTTCATTTTTTTATGACGATTTTTCATATAGATTGAAGATACAACTATTGAAGATATTCCTGTACGTATTTATTCTCCATTAAATTTATATGATGATAAGACAGAAGATCTTCCAGCTATTATTCTTTAACACGGAGGAATGTTTTACATGGGTTCAATTGGTGAGTTTGTTTTGATTTAGGTTAAATTTCAATTTGTTTGTATAATTTATCATTTTAGATACGCATTATCCAACAATACGTAAATTAGCTCTTCGAACAGGTTTATTGCTATTTCTGTTGAATAAGTTTTGATTGATATTTATCTGATTGTAAAAAGATGTTTTTGAAATTTCATGTGAAGATATCGTCTTGTATCTGAACATCCTTTTCCAGTTGGACTTGATGATTGTATTAAAGTAACACACTATTTTCTCGACAGAAATAATGCAGAAAAATTAAATATTGATTCAAAACGTGTTGCTATTGCGGGTGATTCAGCTGATATGTTAAACTTTCTTTTTTTTGCTGTATCTTGTCTTGAAAATCTATTTATAACTTTCATAATTATTATAATTAGATGGTAATTAAGCTGCTGTTGTTGTCATGCGGTTTGCCAAAAGTTCAACTAATCATAATGTTTCTCGTGTTCAAGTAGTGATATATCCTGCTATTCAATTCGTTGATTTTATGGTTTCTTTATATCTAACACCAGCATTCTATATTTTTCATTCTGAAAGAGCTGTCCATGTTCTTGAATTTTATATAAACAAAAATATAAGTGGTGACGTACTCGTTAATAATCATACCAGTGTTGAACAAAAGAAACAATATCGTTGTTGTGCTGATTGGTCACTAATTTCAAATAAATATCGAAAAGTATATAAAGAACCAATAACTGATAATATGGATGGCAATCCTCAAGTTATAGAAAATGCTAAACAACTATTACATCCAGATATATCACCACTATTGGTTGATAACAAAGATTTGGCTAAATTAACATCAACTTATATACTTACTGTTGATCATAATCGATTAAGAGATAAAGATTTTATATATATACAACTCGTTTGCACATTAGTGGAGTTAATGTAGTATATCATCATTTTCATAATACTTTTCATCAATCACTAACTATTCTAGAAGGATTATTTGAATTAGATATTGCTCATGAAATGTTCGAGGGTATTGTTCATTATTTGAAAAATAATCTTTAAATATTTAACTTCAAGTTTTATTTATTATCTAAAGTATTGACAGTAAATTTTTATTTTGTGATATTTAAAAAAACATTAAACTAATGATTAATTCAAGAAAAATTATTGCTCTTTATTATACCTGTTCTGATAATTTCATATGATTGAAATTCAGTTTGTATTCGAAATTGGGTAAGTAGGTAATCACATAAGAGGAGATCAGAGTTCAATATCTAGAACACAAGATGAGCTGTCAATAACATGACAAGAACAAGTTGAAATATCTCCGCTTTGATCAATCGAATGAGCTGATTTTTTTATTAGTTGTAGAAAGTTATTTAAAAAATTTTCACTTTCATAGAAATAGTGCACACAAGTATGACTACCAAGTATTATTATTAGTGATCTCATGAAATAAATTCCACTTTTTGTCAAAAAGGAAAAATATATGTGAAATGTTCCATCGATAATTTTAGCTGTCATGTAAAACAATAAGAAGCAAAAATCAAAACAAACTTTACGAATGATATTACATTGATGCAACAGCAGGTGACGCATAAAGAATGATTTTCTAAGTATTTTGTGAATATCTCTCTCAATAGTTGATGCTTTCAATCGAATATTTGTGAAGAGATGATTCGTAGAGTACTGTACAAAATTTCATAAAAAGACATCTTCAAAATCATAACTGCAAAACTATATCTGGTCAGCAGTACTATACTCTGTAAAGGCTTACTTTCAAAACCACAATTTCAGAAAAGCAATTATTTCTCTTCTTCGGACCAGAACGATTTTAGACCATTCCAAAGCAACTTTCCTATGTTTATATATGTACTTTTTCTAATACAGTCTACAAAGAAATTTTCAGATAAGTGTGTGGCATTCCAGCGGTCAATTTTGTTCAAAAAAAGGTTTTCACCGGTGGTTACCTTCCTTAATCGCATCACTCATTGTAGAACAGCGTTTTTGCAGCAGTTCGCTTGAATCTAGATGGTAGAAAAATACTTTCTTTCAAGTTCGAAATAAATCTGAATTCGTATTAAGAGAGGGTCCGCCAGAATATCGACCAAATTTTGACGGCACCGTCATACGTCAAAATTTTGATTTTGATTTAAGGTTTATCATTCGAAAGCCCGTGGAAAGTTATGCTTCAATCCTAATTTTTAGCTCTTTTTGGAAATCCTATCAAGAGATATGAAATCATCTTTGAACCTACCCTTAAGCGATATTTTATTATTTCGATAAAATAGAAAAAATTCTATTTAACACTTTATACCAATAGATTGTACTCTTGAATATCATTACTTTTACTGTCAAATAACATATTTTGATTAGATCTATCAGATACACTACTATAGATCCGGAATTTCAAATATAAATCGTGATCTAATGTATCATTTTCTCTCTAAAATACATGCAAAAACGACTATTTTTTCATGAAAACTTTTGTATTTTTGACCTATAAGTATACTAAGATGATTGCCTCCCAAAAATCTTTTACCATCAAAACATAGCCCATGAAAACCTGCATCTTTTCATATACAAACGAATACGATTGTGCTTGCTATGGTGATTCAATTTTTCACCACAAATATGGGCACTATATGGTATTTTCCTGTTTTGGTTATTCTTTTTGATTTTCGTAGAATTTTATCCTATTACTGTGACTAAAAATGTATATATGATTTCAAATTTGTTTTCAATGTTAAAGTATGAGTCTATTTCTTTTATAAAAAAATATTTTCTCATATCAAAGACTCATTTAAAAGTTCTAATATCTTATGATTTGCAAGACAAACACTAGCCACTCAATGAAAATTTTATTCTAGACAGTTCAAAAGAAATATTTTCATTTTTGAATTAATTTCATCTTATTTTTCTACTTCTTTCGGTCTTTATTATTTAACACAATCATTCATATTTTTCTCATCCTTAGTCACATGTTTTAAGGATCAAATTGCTCTTGTTTTGATGTATTTCACAAAAAACATATCTTTGTATTATCAAGACTTTTACTAATCATTCTATCTGATTCATTCATTCTAAGCAAAATACATAGCTATTTTGACTATTCGTTGTTCAATATATCTATTCAACTACAAATCATTCATATAATTGTTTGAAATATAAATATCAGTTACATAGAAAACGACTCGTAAATATTATTTTCAGTCAATTTTTTAGAATTTTTGGAAAAATAAATTTTAATTAATTCTGAGAAACGATGATTTTAAAGATTAACTAAGGGTTTGACAATAAAACTATGCTACATCCTTATTGCTAAATTTTCTGTAGAAATAGGTCAGAAAAATCATTGGTTCCTGGTGAGGTATTATAAAATACAAGTTAAGAATTCCGTAACTTTAAAAAGTGTTACATCATGTACTAAAAAGAGAAGTTACGTTAAATATATATGAAAGTCGGGAGCAAAACAGTTATAAGCATGTGAAAAGATGTACACCTTTTGTAGATGAAATAGATGTTGGTGCGGATCACAGACTTATTATTGATTATTATGAACACATAGCTGTTCGAATGGTGAAGTCCGAATTAGATTAGCGTTTCTGCAAATAAGGACAGTTTTCTACATGTACCCAAGCATGCTAATTCGGCTAGTAGTTATCATGAGCATGTTTGTTTTCGCTATTAAAATGATTTTTGATCCTTGTAGCTACTTTGCCTTGTGTATTGTTTCCGGAAACTTGAGCGATACATGCTAAATAGACTACAGTAAAACCTCTCTTAGATGGGCACCAATGGGACTTTTTCAAATCGCCCACCTTACGGAGGTGCCCGTCTTATAGAGTTTACATATATCGACCACTAGTACGTTATTCACTAGCTAAACCGTAAGCAACAGTCCTACTTATATGTTCTCGATTCGCTCTTAGTATTTTGAGTGTATTCAAACTGCACTTTTGTCAATTCGAATCTATTTTAAACTAAGTTTATTTTTTATTATCTTATGTGGAATATTTTTCGATCTTTGTGCCACGAACCATGAGAAAACAACTTCATCAATGTTGTGATCCGTCTTGTCTTGTAGTTTGTGCCTGATACCTTCATTCGCATTTGACTGAAAAACCTGTTTATATTCATCTTTTCGTTGATGAATATTGTAAACAGTACCTTTTGACACCTTGTACTTGTCACATAATTTGCGTTGTGATACGTAGGTGAAGTTAGCTCCATATTCGAGTAAAACCTTCCCAAATTCGTCCAGGAATGTGTTCCAAGTGTTCCAACCCGGTTCCAAGTAGAACTCGACGAGCTCTATCCAATGGTGACCTTGGATCAACCGTAATCTAAACCATTGGTGAGAAAATCCCAAAATAGTACCTTTCCACTATGTGCATCGTCACTAAAACCTTCCTATATTCGTCCAGAAACGTGTTCCAAGTGTTCCAGCCCGATTCCAACTACAACTTGGCGAGCTCTATCCAATGGTGACCTTGGATCAACCGTAATCCAAACCATTGGTGAGAAAATCCCAAATAGTGCCTTTTCACTATATGTATGGTCACTGAAACCGTCCCATATTCGTCCAGGCGCGTGTTCCAAGTGTTCCAACCCGGTTCCAACTACATCTCGACGAGTTTTATCCAATGGTAACCTTCGTTTTTCCGTAGCCCAAACCAATCTTGAGAAAAATGGAAAATACTGCCCTTTTTCTGTGGGACAAGACAAACCTACTTACTAAAACCTNCCTATTTAAGAGAGGGTCCGCCAGAATATCGACCAAATTTTGACGGCACCGTCATCCGTCAAAATTTTGATTTTGATTTCAGGTTTATCATTCGAAAGCCCGTGGAAAGTTATGCTTAAATCCTAATTTTTAGCTCTTTCTGGAAATCCTATCAAGAGATATGAAATCATCTTTGAACCCACCCTCAAGCGATATTTTATTATTTCGATAAAATATAAAAAATTCTATTTAACACTTTATACGAATAGATTGTACTCTTGAATATCATTACTTTTACTGTCAAATAACGTATTTTGATTAGATCTATCAGATACACTACTATATATCCGGAATTTCAAATATAAATCGTGATCTAATGTATCATTTTTTCTCTAAAATACATGCAAAAACTACCATTTTTTCATGAAAATTGTTGTATTTTTTACCTATAAGTATACTAACATGATTGCCTTCCAAAAATCTTTTACCATCAAAAGATAGCCCGTGAAAAACTGCATCTTTTCATATACAAACGAATACGATCACGCTTGTTATTGTGATTCAATTTTTCACCACAAATATGGGCACTATATGATATTTTCCTGTTTTGGTCATTCTTTTTGATTTTCGTAGAATTTTATCCTATTACTGTGACTAAAAATGTATCTATGATTTCAAATTTGTTTTCAATGTTAAAATATGAGTCTATTGCTTCTATAAAAAAATATTTTCTCATATCAATGACTCATTTCAAGGTTCTAGTATTCTATGATTTGCAAGACAAACACCGGCCATTCAATGACAATTTTCTTCTAGGCAGTTCAAAAGAAATATTATCATTTTTGAATTAATTTCATTTTATTTTTCTATTTCTTTCGGGCTTTTATTATTTAACACAATCAATCATATTTTTCTCATCCTTAGTCACATGTTTTGATGATCAAATTGCTCTTGTTTTGATGTATTTCACAAAAAACATATCTTTGTATTATCAAGACTTTTACTAATCATTCTATCTAATTCATTCATTCCAAGCAAAATACATAGCTATTTTGACTATTCCTTGTTCAATATATCTATTCAACTACAAATCATTCATATAATTGTTTGAAATATACATATCAGTTACATAGAAAATGACACGTAAATATTATTTTCAGTCAATTTTTTAGAATTTTTGGGAAAATTAA